AGGGGGCAATGTTAAGGCTTAGGTACAGGGGTAGACTTTTTACTATAGTAAACGCCATGGAATTACAGGCTTAGACAGTACCGCAAATCAAGCTGAACACACTTTAGTCTAAACGAAATTAACAATTAATTTTAAACTACCGGTAATGATGGAATACCATACTGGATCATATCAACAGGTTGTCTAAAAAATATTTGATTTGTGCATTTAATCTGTTAGCAATTTTAACAGCTGTCCTGTTGTAATGCACGAAATCTAAATCCACATTATATACTCCTATCACAGAGAATACTTTTTTAAACTTAAGAAAAGATTAAGAAAGTAATATTCTTGTCTTACATATAATCAATGGAAACCAAAATATTGTTCACTAAACTCTGACGAAAACTTAAATCTGAAGAAACATAATAAAGAACATCACGAAATACACTGCAGATGAACCTAACATATAAAGCAACCTAATAGTATGCCAATAAAGACAGGAAAAGAGCAAACAACCCCAAAGCATAACTACAAATCTGCACATAAGATAGGAACGCTTTCACCGTACTCATAGGAGATTCTCAGGTTTATTTTATCATTAAATTTGTCCTGTTCTTGATATTCTTTAAAGTGCTTGTACCGCACATTCCGTATAAACCCTCTGAAGACTATGAAGATTAATAACGTGCTGCTTGCATAAAAAATTCGTGTTTCTTTTTTTTGCCATTAAATTTTACTGTAATAGTCAGAAGTATTGTTCACAAATTTACTTTTTAATGTCTAAATGAGAGGCGCACAATGTTTATTCTCAGCATTAATCACTGAAGCGTAACAAATATTAAGCAGGTAGTTGTTACTCATTTAGATTATAACTTTAAGCCGTTTGCATAAGCGGAACGTCTCTACTTTGTGATATTCTCAGCGTCTCAACACGTTTGCTATAAGGTTACGCATCATAAAATGAGATTTCCTCTCAGAAAGTAGACTTGCCTCTGCCTTATTTCTCCATGTTGCACGCTAGTCTCCTGGTCAAAGTTGCCACGTTTCGGATACCACATGATTATCTCATATGCTAGAGCAAATCGTGCATGTTCAATCAGTTTTTCTAGCGATGTCAGCCCATTTTCCTATTCTCCATACTTTTAGTGAGGTTACATGTGCCCGAGAGCAGAATCATTAAATACGTGGTTCTGCAAATCAAGAGTCATCAGATGTCGAGCTGCTGCACCATGTTGAACCAATGTTCCTGCTACTTCATTAAAGCAGTTGTCTCCATGACATATAGAAAGACTGGCGTGACAGAGAAACGGTACAGAAGAATGTTTTTCGTAGGAAGAGTAACTCCCTCATCAGTCAAAATATTGCACAGTTTCCAAAAAACACTCGAGGAAATAGCGATGTTTTGATTTTGCCAATCTTTTTGATTTCCCTTTAAAGTTAAAATTCTATGTCCCGCTTGTAATACACGATAACGAGACGGCGATAACCTGCCATCGAGCGTGCAATACGGTGTTGAAAGTACACTTTCTTCGCATGGTTCCGTTGCTCTCTAAGTGCTATGGTTTCCTTCGCAGCTTAGGATAATTTTGGCTATTCTCATAATGACCTTAACTAGTTAAAGTTTCTAAATGAGAAAATGAAGGCTTCCTTGAAGTTGTTGAAAGTTTCATCGGATTCCAATCCGGAGAAAACTTACAAACGATCGTGTATCTCATGACGGATCACCGATGAGCAACCCACCGAAAAGGGGCTAGCTTGGTGTACTAGTCGCTCCAAGACTTATTGAAATCATGTTCGCGCCTGGATTGTAGATGCAGTTTTTCAGGTTGCACAACGGCAAATTTAGTCAATATCAAGGTACAGCATAATGGAAAATGGCGAATAATACACCAGGTCAAATACTGGAACTCTAATGCTAAAGCAGCGTGAACCAGGCTGAGTTAATCCCATACGTTTTCTACCGTCTTCCAATTTTGTTACCGTTTCACTGTCACGTTCTTTTTAGTCCCCCATTTTCGAATCACTTTGCCAGATTGTCAGCGATACTCTGTTCTGCCACTGCTGAACCTTTCACGCTAGATCGGCTTACGCAGGCCATCACCGACTTTAATAAATTTTATGAACACTTTGAAAAAAAGCGAAGTAAAGGCGTCTTTTTGATTTAAATGTATTTCCTCACGTCATTGGATGCAGCGAAACATTAAAATCCTGTGAAGTTAATAGGTGCTCTCAACACTGTCTTTTACCTGACATAAAATATGTCAATGGAAGTTTATGGAAGATAGGGCAGCTGATGTAATCTACGCTTATATAGAAAATTATGGTAATTAGTCGAAAGTATGACGCAGATTAAGAGATGTTTTGCTGAAACTAATCGAATAAGAGCTTGTGATTTTAAATCTAGGTCAGCAATTTATTAAAATACTAACTTTTATAAGAAAAACAGCACGAAAGAGGACTTATTTATATGCAACGCAAAAAAAGAATAAGGTCAGTCCAATGATTGACCAAAAGAGATGTTTAGGCGCGTGTCTCATGATTAATGTCTCTTTGATACGCCTGTTCAGCTTGTCTTTAACTGATGATGCCGATTCACTCTAACAATCCTGGATATTTCCTTGCTGAACGAAGTATTGCACAATCCCGAAAGCGTTTTCCCATTATTCCTTGATTTTGTTTTTTTCCCAGATATAGTGCTGTCACGTGCCTTGATTCCCTGAAAGTTTCTTTTGAAAGATGCATCTAATCCTTTGTAAGTGCCATAAGAAGTCTAAAAAGTTTCGATTCAAATGGCTCTTTCATCCTGGTCTCTAAGTGTCCTGTAAAAGTTGCACGATGAATCTGCGACAAATTTCAGTTCTGGTCAAATCGGATTGAGAGCTTTCGTCATTGAACCATGCAAGGGTGATACGATCAAGAACTTTGCATGCAGAGTATTAGAGATCTCTTGACTCCAAATGCACCACATGGTGCAGACAACCGAACGGTCAAATAACCTTATCAACTATTCTATCATGAAGAAGGTCCGTGAATGCTGGCCAAAACGCCTTATTGAGGCAATCTCGTGAATGACCATCTTTTGTTGTTCATAAATTGGTTTTTGCGCGGTATTTCAGTCTGAATAACAGCGAACGAAAGAAATATTCTATCCGTCGATTCATTACTTGTCAAAATCCAAGAATAACTGAAGATAAAAAATTTTGATTTTGCCGCTATGTTCTTCATGAAGAATAAAGTTGGAAGAAGTCATCACATGAGGAAACTGGTAATTAGGACATCATAAAAATGCAACCGGAAACCTGACCTTAAAATTTTTTCATGTCGTGAACTTTTTTAACGTAAGATGATATTACACGTCACAGATTGCTCAAAAACGTTAGCGATGGTTTTATGACGTTATTCAACGAATGAATATTAATGAAATAAACGCACATAGACAAAAATTCCGTCATTAATTTACAATGAATACATTCAGGTTCCGTTGAATTCTGATCTGTCTGAGTGCGTCCTTCCATTACATGAATCTTTCAATCTATATCATATTTTCACGAGCGATGCACTGTTTCGAAATCCACCATATTCGCTATTAGTTCAGATTCTCATGATAGACTGAATATTTCGATCGACCTACCGTTTCGTTGCGATAACGATTCTTGTGCAAACGGAACTTTCCTGTTATCAATTTTCGCACCAAGCGCTGCTCATAGATAATCAAACAAATCATTAAAAATATTCCAGTTCAACTAAGAAGCTGGTGTGTGACAGTGGGTTGCTAAAATATCCATATCACATAAAGGAATTCAATGTTTTCAGCGAATTTTCGTAAGAGTTTTATGGATAATGAACTGCCTTATATTCGGTGAATTGATTCGACTTTTTAAAAATAATCAGGTATGCTTTGATCTTTGTTATTTTTTTATTATTC